TTTGCCTCTTTGGCAAGTGCATATGACCTCTCGCAATAAAAAAAGAAAGAAAGAAAGAGAGAGAGAGAGGGAGGGAGGGAGGGAGGGAGGGAGGGAGGAAGGAAGGAAGGAAGGAAGAAAGAAAGGAGAAAGAAAGAAATAGGGGCCAGCCAGTGATGTGGTAGTTAAGGCGGCTGGATCTTTATGATTGCATGGTTCGAGTCTGGACCCCGAGGCTTGAAAAACACCCAAGGTGCACATGCATGTGTGCCCAAAAATCCCAAAAGGAGAAGAGACTGCAAGGTAGCCATCACCTGGGAAGGTAGAGGGTAATTTTCTCTCTCTCTCTCTCTCTTTCTCTCTCTCCCTTTTTCTCCCTCCCTTTTTCTCCCTGGAAAGTGTCCATGCTCTATTGCAGGCAGAATTAACTATATATATATATATATGGGGTTTTTGCTACAGGGCGCATGCGCTCGCCACAAAGAGAGGTAGAAAGCAAGAAATCACCCCCCCGGGGGGGATGGCCACGCCGCAATCCCTTCTCCTCCATTCTCCTCTTGGGATCTTGGGCATGCACGCACAAGTGCCTGGCGTGAGTTTTAAGCCACCGGGTCTGGGATGCAAACTGCGGTCGACTACATGGGAGTCCAGTGACATAGCCATTACGATAACTGCTGGTCACCCAATAAATATATTTTTAAAAAAGAATATGAAGTCTACTTTTCCCCTTTACCTTTTTTTTTTTTTTTTTTTTTTTGACCAATGTAATACAGAGAAGTGACCCCCTGCAACTCGGAAGGCCAGGCCTTAAGAGCTTCTGTCTTCCTGTTCAGAATACTCCCTCTTGAAAGCCAGCCGCCAGACAAGAAGGCCACCACACTGTTAGGAAATCTAAGCCAATCAGTGGCAAGTACAGCCACACAGAGGACCACCAAGGCACGAGTCACCTTAGTGGAGCCTAGGCCCTTCCAGCCGAGGCTGAGTGAATGATCCAGTCAACCCTACATACAACAGAAGAGGAACCCAGCCTAGCCCTGCCTAAATTCCTGACCCACGATCCATGAGCAAGTTTAACAGTTGTTTCAAACCACCAAGTCTTGAGGCACTTTGTTATGTAGCATCAGATACCTGAAATCAATTTGAAGCCAGGAAACCTGCGATCAGTCCTAGTTCTGTTATTCTCCAGCTACGTGACCTTGGGTGAATGACTTCCCCTCTGGACCTCAATTTCCTCATCCGTAAAATAAGGAGGCCATATGAGGTGAGCTGTGGTGCCTTCCGGTTTTGACAGTCTGTATCATACATGCAGATGTGAGTGACGAGTCTAAGAGTGAGTGCTAGAATACAAAGGGAATAACTCCTTCAGGACCCAGTGAGCCTCGAGAAAGAACGTGGATCTGGAGTCAAAAGCCCCGGAGCGTGAGGATTAAGGGAGGCAGTCACTAGTCCAGTGCACGGCCTGTAGTAAGTACTCAGTATCATTCCCTGACACGGTCTAGACAAGTTAATCTCTCTGATCCCCAACGTTTTCATCTGAAAAACGAAGATAACACTAATGTTCCTCTTGCTACAAGAGGAAAAAGAAGTCTTTGTGAAAATCCCATGCGAGTTGAAAACCACCCTCGAATATAAGACATCGGTCCATGACCACTCTTAGTCTTTGCACCATTGTCATGACAAGTCTCTCATCAAGCAAGCAGTGACAGTCCATGGCTGGCACAGGCCACCGGGAAGGCGTTCTGGGAGATGGAAGCACAAGCTTTCAAGCTGTTCAAGATTTGACCACTTACCCCCCAGTATTCATCAGTGAGCCAGTGTCCCTTACAAGGAGCCCTCAGCCTGAGGGGACATCCGGAAACAGCCCAGTGTTAAAAGCTGGAGTGAGGTCCTAGAGGCCAGAAGCCAGAGCTGTGAATCAAACACTGCCCAGCACAGAGCAAATGCAAACTGCCAACAAGATAAGCTCTGGATTTAGGAGTCTGCAGTCCGACTCCATCCTACCCAGCGGCGGGCACAAGGGCAGGCAACTGCCCTGAACCTATTTATAAGACAGGCGTTAGGAGGCCCGGCCTAGGCGGTAAGGTCGGTAGTGAACTGGACTGCAGTGCCGGAAGCCACACAGCAAACTGTGGATTCAAATCCCTGGCCAGCCGACCAGACACTCGCCAGGGCCACCAGATCCTGATGACAGCGGCATGTCGAGGGTGCTTCTCTCATGTCTCTCACACGTGCGCATTCTATCAAGAATAAAATGAATAAACTTAAAAAAAAAGACAGACATACGGAGACCCATCTTGTAGGAAAGTGGTGAGATTTAAATGAAGTACTGCAGGAGAAAAACAGCTAGGATGCTGCTTGATAATCAAATGCATGGTATTTTTTTCTAAGTGCACAGATCCTCAGCCCCCTAGATGCCCTTCAACCCTGGTCCGAGAGCTTTCAATGTCTGCAGAACCCTGACAGGGAGCGGCATACATCCAAAAAATCACTCCATCCAGTGTCGATTCTGAAAAACTGCCAGCCCTTGGGAGAGAAGGACCTGGGCTCCTTTTCCAAGGGTACCTGACACGGCAAGAATAATACATTTCACAGCCTGTGCTTTTCCACAAGAGAAGAAGAGTAAGGAGAGCGGGGAGTGGGTTTAACCCTGAAGCCCCAGTGATTGTGCAGTTCTGCGGACACTGCTCTGGAAACCAGCCGGGGAAGAGAGGCACCTACCGGGTGCTGGTGGGACCGAAACGCTGCTTCTCCCACCACGACTCAGGTCTCAGCTGAGCCAGTGTGGGAATGTGCCCATCGTTTACTGAGCTGGGAGTAAGGACCCAGCTTGCCCGAGGAAACACCACCGCTTCCCTTCCTGTCCGCTCTGTTCCTGTCTTCCCCATCAAGCCAGGCTCCAAGCAGAACCTCGGGTCCCCTGTGTCCCAGTCTGCATGGAGAACAGAGCTTGGACCAACTGTGCCTGCCTCGTCTTCCTGAGCCCTGTCTGTGAATCCGAGGAAGTTACTATAGGAACTACCTCACACAGCCTCCAGACACTTGCTTAGAAAAGAAGCTGCGTGTTCGGTATTGGGAGAGAGACAGGAGGGGCCAGCAAGTGAGAGGCAGGCGTCTAGTCCAGGATTTCCCAAAGTCTGGTCACAATCACTCAGATTCAACCACTTGGAATGGATCAACTCAGCACTGAAGAATGGCAAGAACTGTAAATTTGTTTTTCTTTTTATTTAGAAACAAGGTCTAGCGCTGTTACTCAGGCTGGCCTCGAACCTCCCGCCTCAGCCTCCCAAATAGTTGAGATTACAGATACATTCCAGCACACCCAGCCTAGACTTGCACTTTTTAAACCCTCGCCTGGTGATTCTTAGGCACAGGAGCTTTCTGAGACAGGGATAGGGCCAAACGCAGAGAAGACTGATTAAAGGAAAACATCGGATCACCCTTTTGACTCCTGTTTCTGCAAAACAGCAGTGGGGAACCAAGCAAGGCAAAAGCCACTTTCCTAGTTCAGGTATGTGTCTAAGAAAACTAAATGGTGACCATGATGGATGAAAACTCCTACTTGAAAATAAAAATCTGCTCACCAAATAAATAGGCCAAGATAAAAACTACCCTAAGCCCCCCATTCTGAGACGAAAACTAGGTCTATTTTGAGATGAGAGAAGTAAGATAAGACGGATCTTGGCTGGAGCCCACTCCAGTCCCAGACACTCCTCGTAACTCAGCTCTGCATTCCGGAGCAGGATTTGATCTGCTGGAGGAGCAAGGGGCCCTCCTAGCTCTGGCAGGTTATGATTAGGGGAAAGTTATTCAAGGATTAAAAAAAGTAAGACTCACCAACGCACCTATGTCCAGGAGAGGGGGGGAAAAAATCTAATGATCACTGACTCCATATCAGACTCTCCAGAAATGTCTTGTGAATCGGAGGAAACAGACACCTGACGGAACAATCCTTTCGTGAGATGCTACAGCCTGCATGTACACAGTCGGGAAATAGGGGAACAGAGAGTAAAACCACCTCCTCATCAAAAGCGCTAGGTTTCCAAAACCAGCAAGACATGACCTACATGAAAGGGCAACAGCTTCATTCACTGTAAGACAGCACGGTGGATGCTGTGTCCCCAGGTCTTCACGCGGGGGACATCGCAGCTGGCATGAACACTCTCCATAGAACAGCACTATTTCCTGTGAAGTGACAGTGGATCCCCACTGACACCTCAGAAACCAGAAGCCCTCACCAGGGAGGGGCATCAGGCTGGCCAGCCTTACTCACACCTGATGGTTGGGGACAGAGGTTTGACCCGCACACTCCCCAAGGACAGACCTGGGGCTTGGGCCTCTGCCCTGAAAAATTCCAGTCGTCCCGGCCCAGCTCCTCGGAGATGCCGAAACTTACATTAAGCAGCAAAGCCTGCAGCTTCACTCCCCCACACACACCCCTCAGTGACTGGCACATGCAAAGGAGACGTGGCCATCCAGGCACTTAGGAAGTGAGCCCGACACCCGGACCCGCTTGCCTGGACTCTAAAAAGGAAAATACCTGGATTCTGGCCCTCAGTCAGGGAGTAGGCATTCCCCCTTTCAAAAGACCTTCCTGAAAGCACCTCTCCCATGGGAGTCCAGCAGGTAAATAACACCCGCCTTTCCTTAACCCGGCTCTCCAGAGCCAGGTGTCCAGGCGCGCTTCTCGCCGGCCTCTCCTCCTTGAAGGAGGGATCCGGGAAGTAACTCAATCCAGTCCTAGGCGGGGAAGGATGGAGGCGTCTGCAGGTGGGAGGAGGGGTGAGGCAAGACCGCTCAAACTTTGCCGTTGCTCTTCAGCAGTTCTGGGCAGGAGCCCGCGGAATCAGAGAGAAGGGGGAGTCACCCTCCGTAACTGAAAGGCCCCCAGCCCGGCCTAAGCCGCCGGCTCTGCGTCCAGGAGGGCCGTGCATCCCGCTCTCTCGGACCTGGCCCTCCCGGGCAGCACCTTCCCGCGGCCCCTCACCTTGGCCTCGAAGCAGATGCCGTGCTGGAAGGCGTCCTCGTTGTGCAGCGGGATCCGCAGGTCGTGCCCGTCGTCCACAAGGTTGTACTTGCTTTTGCTGGGCATGGTGACCCGCTCCTCCAGGGGCGCCGGCGGCTGCAGGAGGGGGCTGGCGAGACCCCGGGGAGGGCGCGGCGTTGCGGGGCGGGGGTGGGGGAGCCGGGC